GTCAATATTTATTATGTTGTGTTTTTAAATTCACAGACTGAATCAAACGTGTTTGGTTTTAAAATCCCAAAATGCAAACAGATTGTTCATAATGACCTACACATAAAAAAAAGCACATCTGGACAGTTAAAAATAACATACTGGATAAAATGAGAAGCCTGTTCAGAAGATGCTGACCAGAGGGATGACACTTAATATGGACATTTTACTTTCTGGTAAGCTCCTAGATGCATGTGAAGAAGATGCTGTTTAATAAATGGGCTTCACACTCTGAGCAGGTGTTAACAATGAAATTAAAACACTAGTTGGAGCGAGATTAGCGTCTCTCATCTCTGTCAAACATGCCTGATTGCCCGAGAAGGATTGCATTGTGCTAAACGTGTATACAGTGGATGAGATAACACTTTTTTGTCCAGGCAAAGGAGGACAGAAACACAGCGATTACAGCTCGTGTATATTGGAAGTTTGAAAGCCTTCAAGCATCTCTGACTCCTACACATTCCCAGGCAGCAAAGGTAACAGCTTTTACATAAATGTGAGGCTATAAACTACTCAAATGAATTCTATTTTGCAGGGCTGTGAAAAGTCAAATGGCTGAGTGAGATCTTGATTGAAAGGAATGGTTTCAAAATCCTTAGGTGGTTAAAATATATACTCTATGTAACTTCACCAGATATTACAGTTTTCTCCATATTAATGTTGGGGTACGTATAATTGCAGTGTAATGCATATCACATATTTATGCAGATGTATTTAGTTAAAAGATGAAAAGCTAGGGTAGCCATGTGGTCAGTGCTGCGGTCTTGTAATGTGAGGCTGCAGGTTTGAGCCCAGGTTGTGTCCGAAAGGGGATTTGGCATAAAACTACTGCCAAATATTTAATTGGCCCAACAGTGATTGTGAATTCAACTGAGTAATACAACAGTTTCACACATTTTATTCAAGAATACCAAATGATTTAATTCATCCATCCATATTACACCTGACTGTTCCTGTTCAGGGTGACGGATCTGCTGTTAATCACCAGTAATCAATGGGTGAGAAGCTGGATCCACTATAGACAGGTCAACAGGACATCACAGAGCCACTTAAAGATTAACAACCATACACACACTCCCACCTTGGGCAAGTTTAGAAACTCCATATTGAACTCCAATTGAATTGAATTTATTTCTAACGAATTGGCCATTGTGCAGCTTTAAGACCAAATTTTGCATTTTTCACAAAAA